ATGTATTCTTTTTGTCTCCCTTTATATATTCTTTCTGTCTCCTTTTATATATATTTTTTGTCTCCTTTTTTAAATATATTTTTGTCTCCTTTTGTATCTTCATTCTGTCTCCTTTTATGTATACTTTCTGTCTCTTTTTTTCTCTTTTCTCTGTCTCCTTTTTCTCTTCTTTCTGTCTCCTTTTTCTACATTCCTTCTGTCTCCTTTTTCTACATTCTTTCTGTCTCCTTTCAACATTCTCTTTGTCTCTTTTTTATAAATATTTATTTTTTTCTATAAATATATTTTTGTTAAGATATCTACATACCGAGCCCGCGGGGAGACACCTGAGGAGCGGCGGCAGCGCAAGGCGGCAGTAAAGGAGGCCCAGCGTATACTCAGAGCCAACAAAAAAGCTAACAAACTGCTGCTCAAGGTGCTGCTGCTGCTGCTGCTGCTGCTGCTGCTGCTGCTGCTGCTGGTGGTGCTGCTGCTGCTGCTGGTGCTGCTGCTGATGCTGGTGGTGGTGGTGGTGCTGCTGCTGATGCTGGTGCTGCTGCTGCTGGTGCTGCTGTTGCTGCTGGTGCTGGTGCTGCTGCTGTTGCTGCTGCTTCTGGCATTGCTGTTGCTGCTGTTGTTGTTGTTGTTGCTTCTGATGGTGCTTCTGCTGCTGTTGCTTCCATTTGGCTGCTGCTGCTGCTGCACTCTGCTGCTGCTGCACTCTGCTGCTGTTGCAGTTGCTGCTGCTGTTGTTTCCTCTATATTGTGCGTGTCTTAGCATTCTCTGCTGCTGCTGCGTTCTTGCTGCAACTGCAATTCTGTCTGCTGCTACTGCTAATGCTGCTACTGCTTCTGCTGCTGCTGCTGCTGCTGCTGCTGCTGCAGGAGGAGACAAAGAAAGCGCAGGCAGCACAAGCCCGCATCAGCCCCTTCGACGTCCGCCCCGGCGTTCGTTACTTTAAGCTCTGAGCCTCGGCAGCAGCAGCAGCAACAGCAGCAGCAGCAACAGCAGCAGCAGCAGCAGCAACAGCAGCACAACAGCAACAACAACAGCAGCAGCACCAGCAGCAGCAGCTGCTGCTGCTGCTATTGCTGCTGCAGTTGCTGCAGTTGCTGCGGGCTGAGGAGACACCCCCCTTTTGTTGTTAGTTAACGGCAGTATATATTTTGTGAGAGCAGCAGCTGTCTCCTTTTTTGCTGCTGCTGCTGCTGCTGCTGCTGCTGCTGTTTCTACTCGGTGCTGTCTCCTTTCTTGTTGCTGCTGCTCTGTCTCCTCATGCTTCTCTCTCCTATACTCTGTCTCCTTTCTCGCTGCTGTCTCTGTCTCCTTTCTCGCTGCTGTCTCTGCTTGGTTCTGTCTCTCTTGATAGCTGTCTCCTGCTGCTGCTGCTGCTGCTGCTGCTGCTGCTACTGCTGCTGCTGCTGCAGCGCTTACCTTTGCAGCTACTCTGCTAGCCACAACCGGCCCCTGCTTCGTACGGCCCAGCTAGCTAGCCATCGCAGCCAGCTCTATATATATATATATATATATATATATATATATATATATATATATATATATATATATATATATATA